TAAATGTTCAACAAAGATAGTAATATGCATTGTGTTATATCCACCTGGCAGGATAATCTGGTCAATTATTATTTGTACTAATTCCAAAGACTTTGTAGCAACAGGAAAAAACACTTGAATGTTTCAAATAAAAGGACATAACTTATATGCATTATGATTAACTAAATAGTCATATTAAGATGAAAAGGACTCTATCAAGAAAATAATTATGATGAAGTAATGAGATTTCTGATAATTTCTCCCCTACTACTTTTGTTTGCTGTTTTATGGCTTTTATCATATAAATATTAAATTAAAAATAATCCACATTCTGCATAAGCTGATGAAGATAGGTATAAAGAGATGGTCACATGGGGAAGAAGCCAGTGAATCTCAAAGTTAAGACAGGGTGCACTAGGAGTTAATCACTCCATTTTCTTCTCATTTGTGGAAAATAATCTTCCTCTGAGCAAAGCTTCCATAGCTCATGTTCTTCCATGTGTGTAATTCTGCTGTGTGGGGTCATGGAAACATGGTATTTTAGGATGGGCAGAGTCTCAGAGATATTTTATTCCAAACTCCCAGCTAATTCAAGAACTAGAACTATAGCATCCATTGCAAGTACCTGTAATGAATGCTTCTGATTGACTGAATATTCTCATGAACGAGGAGCTCACCACCTCACAAAGCAGCCTGTTCAGGCTCTGCCTTCTCAATCATGCCTGATGCTGTTATACGTGACCATGCCTCTAAATCTCACACAAAGCAGGCCTGCTCAATCACTTCCTCCCAACTGGGATTTCAAACCACGCAGCACAAACTAAGGGACTGGAGTGAGACTGCATCATTCTTCCTAACAAAAGAAAAATATTAAGCTCAAAATATGAGACTATCCCTATTCATGAAAAGTATATTCTAGAAATGGGAATATAGAAACCCATGGCTAGTCTATTGAATAGAAAAAAATTATGAGCAAAGATGAATCCCCCAAAAAAGTGCTACAGACAGTTGCCCAGGCTTCTCTCTAAAGACTAAAGACTTTAGATCTGTAAAGATTTTCATTTAGAAAATTCTTTCAGTTCTTCTGAGAACAAGAGGAGGAAGCCATCTTTTCAGTGCTCATCTTTCTGACTACCCTAGAGCTCCTGGTTGTCTCACCTCAGCAGCAGAAGCGGAAGGCTGGTAAACTGTGAGGGAGGCTGGCAGCTCCACACGGGCAGTGGGACTCTGGGTTTTTGGGACACACTATTACTTCTTGTAACCAACAATCACCACATTGCACGTGTGTTTCCTGTATTTCATTAGAAGAGCCTCAAAGTTTTATGTTTAAAGCTGGAGTGGGAAACCAAATTAAAAATGGATAACGGTGCTTCAACCCCACCCAAATTTTAAAATGACAGTTTGCAAAGTGCTACGGTTATATTGTAAAATGACAGATTGCAAGGTGTTATCTGGGAGGTGAGGCACAATGTTTGTCCCCGACCCCCAGTGTGATGATATTTGGAGGGGAGGCTTTTGGGAGGTGATTAGCTCATGAGGGTGGGACCCTCACGATGGGATTTTGGGATTAGAGACATGAGAGACAGTTCTTGCTCTCCCTGCCAATGTGAGGACACAGGAAGAAGGCGGAAGAGAGTTCTCACCAGAAACTAAACCCTGATGGACCTTGATCTTGGACTTTATGGCCTCCAGAACTGTGAGAAAATAAATTTCTGTTGTTTAAGCCACCCAGTCCGTGGTATTTTGTTACGGCAGCCCGAGCTGACGGAGACACAAAGCGGTAAGGAAAACCATTGTCAGAGGGCGCCAGCGGCACAGCTGAGGACAGCCAGGAGGGGTGTGAGAAGGCCAGAGCCTGGGTGATCACCCCTCCTCAGAGATGCAGGGAGCACAGGAGAGCCAAGGACCCAGGAGAATGCAGAACCTAGGAATGAAAACATCAGCCTGGGGAGGTGAGCAGCAGCCCTGGGGGAGGGGGTCAGCAGTAGAAGTAAGGAGGGAAAGTTCTCACTCTTCTCTCAGCCATGGCTTAAAAAAAGTATAGAAAACGCTGGGGTGAGCTCTTCTTGGATTTTCCCTAGAGCAGAGTTGGTATTCCCTGCAGCATATAGCAAGACTGTGATATTTCACAGTCCATGGGTTACAATCTTATACATGAGTCCCTGAAAGTGGTGGAAGGTTGGAGTGAGGCGGTAGGACTTAAGAGGACCTGACTCTCCCGTTAGTCCCTTGGTTTTCAATACGTGTCCATCTGCTGGGCCCCAAGTGTCCTCTGGATCAGCACACATAGGCTCTCTGTACAACAGCAGCAGGGGACAGAGGAAGGCCCTCGAGTTCAGAAGGCAAAGAAGTACAGCCCATGGAGAGGTCCTTGCTCTGGACTCCCACCAGCTTCCATCTCAACAGCTGTGTTGTGTCTGCTTGGGTCCTGTCTCTGATGTGGACCCCTACTTGAATCAAAGGGAAGGAGACTGAGCGTCTGAGATGACCAAGAGCAAACCAAGGCTGACACAACCGGCTTCTCTCCCCAGTGTCTGGAAGGTACTGCTCACCCCCCAGTAATTCCCCAAGATTTTCCACTGTTGTTCACATGTGCAGAGACTGCCAGCAGCCTTCATGGGGACTGAGCTTTGCGGAGGAGGATCAACACTCTGTCGTGACCAAAAGCAACAATGTCTCCTGAGGAGGGCTGTCAGACATCCTACCAGACTATGACCACCGTGTCTGCCTTTCCTCTTATTCATAGTTGCCATAGATCCAGCACCTAACATCACAGGAGCTGTGCCCACGCAGGGTGTTCACTCACCACTCCCACTAGAGACCACAGCCCTGCTCTACGTAATCATGAATTTCAATATGCTAACCGTATTCAGCCGGCCAAGATAAACCTAATGGATTTGGTTTAGTATTTGGTGCCAAGTAACACACAGCTGATTAACCCAGCTCACAGATGCCCTGAAATCAGCTGGCTACTCCTTGCTTCTCCATTTACTTCTTCCTCAGGCAGGCATCAACTGAGAGAGATGACCTTGGCCAGGCCATGCACAGAGATGTGAAAATTGCTTGCAGTTCTGAGCAAGGAGCTGCACCCTGCAAAAGAGGCTTTGGATTGTTGACTCACCAAACTGGACAGTTAGTGTTAAGACAGCTGTGATGCACAAAGAACACAGGATGGCTGTGCTGCCTCCTAGGTGGCGAGACAAAGGGATATGAGGAGAGGGGCAGAGGGGAAGGCAGAAGAATACCCACTATTTGCAGACCTTGTGGGAACCGTTGCCAAATGGAAATTACTGAAGACATTTGTGAGGGTAACTGGCAGAGATTCCATCAGCGATCTGAACTGGAAAGGGAAGTGGAGAAGTTTTATTTAAGACCCCCTAACACTGAGCTGAGCATAATTCAAAGTCCAACTCGATTCTCAAATAGCGAGAGAGCAAAATATCTTGATACACTTCCTATGCTTATTCATCCTGTGCCATATAATTGGGGTTCAAAACTAGGATGGAAAACATCAGGGAAGAATGTTAGTGAATGAAGAAACGGCAAAGGAATATGTCAACAAGAACAAATATTCACTGAGTGCCTCTTACGTGCTGGGCTCTGTGTAGGACTGCTCACAGGCTGGTCACAGTCCAGAGAGGAAGGCAGACACAGCGTCAGGAGAACCTGAGTGGGCATGGAGAGGTGGGAGCTCCCCTTTCACAAAATCTGTCTCTGAGGACTTCTCTGGGCCTCAGCATCTCCTAGGATAGTGGTCTTTATTGCCTACTGCTTTCCTATGCTTTCAGCTCCTTTATATAAGCGTGTATTTCTGGGCTCTACCCTCAGAGAGTCTGTTTTTTCCTGTATGGGCGAAGGAATCTATTTTTTTTCAAGTTCTCCAGGTAATTCTGCTGATGAGTGGGATCTGGAACACTGCCTCAGTGGACCCATGTCAGATAACTGCACAGTGGTACTAAGGCCATGATGAGAGGCACTATGAAATCCATACTTCTCTCCTGTAATAGGAGATGCAGTGTCTTCTCCTCTGGGAAGCGGGCCCAGCTGGTGTTAGGGGTCCCTCCTCTTGCTTTACTAGCGACCTGTACACTCTCCTTGAGCATAGTCTATTAGGATGCTGGCTTATTCTGGGTCTCTGCTATTCGACTCTGAATTCTGAGACGACTGTACCATCTTATTCATCTCCCTTTCCCCGCTGTTGGCATAAAGTGTGCGCAATACATATCGGTTGTGGAGTGAGGAAGCTGGATGATGATCACGTATTTCTGAGCCCTGCTCACAGGGAGAAAACAAGGGCAGGGTGACACGGATGTGGAATATCAAAAGAGATACGCCAGAAACACCCTTCCACGCCGGGGTGACAAGAGCATTCACTGATGCTGCCAGGGGTCGTCTGGGGTGACAGAGCCAGGGCCTGGGCTCTGACTCGAGGCTGCAAAACCTGCTCGAGCTTTCCGGGAGAGTATCAATTTCCCCCCGTTTTCTCAAGCTCACTGTTTCACTTTTCAGTAGCAAATGTGAGAAGAAAAAAGCATCTCAACAGGACCTGCAGGAAAACATCCCGGATTCTTAGATATACCTTTAAGTTCTTAAAAGCAAAACCTTTTGGATTCCTGAAATGTTACTTCTTTAATAAGGCAAGAGGGTTTTTTCCCCCACTTCCAGTTTTTAAGAAACACCTATAATAAAGCCACATTTTCAGAAACTATTAAATAACTGATGATAGATTAAATCTTCTCTAATTTGAAGGCATTAAGAAGCAAAACAGAAAAATATTTTGAAATTCTGTATGTCGGTTGAAACATTAAAAAAGCAAAACGTTCTCTCTTCCAAATTGTTTTGCTTTTTAAAGGTTTCACCTTGCACTCTCACCTAAGAATATATGTGATTGTGTGCATGCGTGTGCACATGTGTGCACGGGTGGCAAGCATGCATGCCTGCATGGGGGAGGGAAGACAGTGGCTAGAAGGGGCAGCCTGTGAGTGAGGCCTGACGAGGTGTGGCCTTTTCATTTGCCCTACTAACGCAAATTCCAAAAAAAGCAGTAAAGTTCTACTGCCATCTCGTGGCACTGTAAGATGTTCACAAGAGGCACAATCGGCTCAGATTCTATAAACTAAATCCAAAAACATCCCAGTGGTCCACACAAAGATGTTTACCTGTCAAAAGATGAGAATAAGAAATAATCTTGCTTTTTTATTCAAAAGGACCATATGCTTCACATCAATTTGGTTTCAAAAAGACCCCAGGTCTTAAAACTAAGGCTACCACAACATTTGTTTTGCAATATGTAATAGTTTCACGTTGAAAAAGCCTCAACATAAAAAATTACCTTCAAAACCCACTGGGACATTCTCACATAAACTAGGATAGTTCACAAACAATAAAGTTCTTTCTTCAATATTCAATCTTTTCAATTTCATCCATATCTTCAGGGTCGAGTTGATTAATATTGCTGTCTAAAAGAACAAAAGAGAAGGGACCAGTTTTATCCCAGGGCCTAAATGGAATCTCATTCCATTCAACTCTGAATTTCTGAAGACAGTGACACCTCTGAAAAAATATATATGTTCTTGTGACACCTTGTATACAAAAGCCTTGAGATAAGAACATTCTCTAGATTTGATAAGGAAGGGATGATATCAAAATAACTGATTAATACTGACTAAAATAGCACTGAATGCACCAGACAATAGAAAATACATGTCTAGGTACCTTGAGGCAGAAAAAAGGTCAGAGCGCAAGTGAGGGGAGCCTGGGAAGGGGCCCGACAGAGCTCAGAAGGAATGAAGTGGGTGTGTGTATGGGGAGTGGGGGTGTGGGATGGCAACAGGGAGAGGGATGAAGGCTCCTCCTGAGGTCACTTCCCAAGACCAGGTCTTTAGGAGCTTACCATAGAAACAGTGGATCATAACGGTTCTCTCTCCCCCACCCCTCCTCAGTTATCCTAACACAGGGGTGCTTAACCAACTTCCCTGAAGTGTTCACGGATGTGCTACAATCAGTCTGCACACCTTTTAAAATTATATTCCAAATTGCATGCATGTGTCTATGTGCATTTCCCCAGGGAGAGTGTCCATTGCTTCCCACAAAGGTTAAGCACCATTGTCCTGAAAGGTGAAAGATATATTTGGAGTCATCTGAGTGTTTCTCCTCCCCTGCTCCCCAGCCATCTCCATGGCTTCGGGGCATGGGGTCATTTGAGAAGTGGAATCTCAGGTTCCATCACCCTTCCAGTTTCCAGTCCAAGAGCCCTGCAGGTTATCAGAGCTTGCCTTGTTTAGATGGGGGTGCTGCAGGAAGGGCAGCAGACCTCAGAAGTTAGGACTGTCCTATTTGGTAGGGTGGGGCGAGAGGAAGGGAAACGTGAAAAAGAGGAAGCTGGGGACAGACTATAATCATAAGGACTTCATTATTTTGCTTAAGGTCGTTCTTTAAAGGACACGAAAATCTGTTCCAGATCCCAGAATGAGCAATAACATACAAATCTGAGCTCATATTAATTCCACTTGATTTAAAAATTTTTAACTACCATATATGAATTAGTCAACAGTCTTATATTAGGAACTCTGGCATTGTGAATTAGAAGCCTTCTACTCCATGGCTCCTGCCCTCATCCTATCAAAGCCTCTGGGCCTGAGGTCCATGACACACATCATCACTCTCAGCATTTAGCAAGTCCACAGTTCCCACTGTGAAAGGTGCTACTTACTAAAGTGATCCTGGATCTTCATAAGCAGGGGCAGCTTATCCACTTCAATCATGTTGAAGGCAAGGCCTTTCTTCCCAAAGCGTCCCGTCCGCCCTATGCGGTGGAGGTAGATTTCATAGTCTGGCTCCTCTGCTTGGTTTACGGGGAGATCAAAGTTCACAACAATTGTGACCTGCTTCACATCAATCCCTAGAAGAGGAAAGACACTGTAGGGGCCTGTAACCTTTTCCTTAGGACACAGCTATTCAAGAAGCACATCTGCCGAGGGAATTCTCATTTAACAGACAAAATTTATAAATTATATCTGGTTTTACATAACTGAAACAGGTCCTCTGGTCAGGCATTTGCTTGCACAGTATGTCTACGATGTTGGATAGGAGTGTCAGCAGAAGCTAATTCACAGAAGTCTAAATGTGTACAAAGAGTGTGTGTGTGTTGTGGGAGGGGCTCTCACCCAGCCCATGGAGCCACTCCCTCCTCTCCGCTCCTGCTGTGCCCAGTCCCCAGCAGGCCCCTCACCCATCGCGGGGCCCCAGCTCTGCTCCACTCCATGGCCATTGTTCTAACCAGGTCTTTTTGATCCCTTGCCTCAACTGTTACCACAACTTCCAGACTGGTTCCCCGCCCTCACTTCTCCTGCTCCTCTAATCTCTCACCACAGTCCCCACAGCCATGTCCAGAGCACTTGTGTTTGGTACCCAACTGCCCAAATTGTATAAGATAAAGTACAAGCCACTCAAGACTTCCAAACTACCTCAAGTCTCATCTCTTCCTCTCCTGACTCACAAATCCAACAACACAGTCACACGGTCTTGTCATTTCCCAAGCAAACTGTAAATTCTCATCAAACTGAATTCTACATTTCCTTCAAAACCTTCCACATCTAATGTTTCCCAGGAAGACTTCTGTGATCCCCCAGTGCTTCAGTCCCCCAGTACGAACAAGCTGTCTGGGTCACAGTCCTTGTACTCCTTGCACTGTGTGTCGACTCTGGAGCTCTCTGTGCCGTCCTTCCTGTGGGGTCTAGATAGTGCTGTCCAATAACCATTACCCTCATGTGGCTATTTAACTTTAAATTAATTCAAATTAAAACTTCAGTTCCTTAGTCAACTGGCCACATTTTAAGTGCTCAATAGCCATATATGGCTAGTGGCTACCAATTGGATAGCACAGAATAGAACATCTCCATCGGTGAAGAAATTTCTATTGGATAGTGCTGGTCTAGAGTCAAGAGTCTAGGCAGTGAGCTCCTGAGGGGCAGGGGCCTCATCATTTTTCAGGCTACTCTTCCCAAGTGCCAAGATCAGTACTCATGGCAGGTCCTCAGTTCTATTTGCTGAACTAAGGACGAATTAGAAACATGGTTTGAGTACAGTGTCGAGGCAAGATACAGGAGGGATGAAGAAAGTAGGAAGGCCCTTCTGTTGAAAAAACAATGATTGTTTTTCTCAGTAGTGAATAGTTTTAAAATTAAAAACACCTCAGAGATGACCAACGTCATTAGTCATTAGGGAACACAAGTTAAAAACATGTGATACCACCCATATCTAATAGAAAGGTTAAAATGAGAAAGAGTGACAATTCCAATTGCTGACAAGGATGCGGAGCAACGGGAACCCTCCTACATTGCTGGTGGAAATGAAAAATTGTACAGCCACTTCGGAAAACAGTTTTGCAGTTTCTCATAAAGCTAAACATACATTCATCGTATGACCCAGAAATCCTATTCCTAGGTATTTACCCATGAGAAATGAAAACATATGTCTACACAAGACCTATATATGAATGTTTAGTACAGCTTTATCCAAAAAAGCCCCCAACTGTAAACAATCCAAATGTCCATCAACTGGTGAATGGATGAACGAACTATGGTATATTCACTCAATGGACTACTACTCAGCAATAAAAAGGAATGAACTACTGATACATGTAACAACACTGATGAATTTAAAAGCATTATGTCAAGTGGGAGTAAGTCAGACACAAACGCTACCAACTGTAGGATTTAGTTTATATGGCGTTCTGGAAGAGACACAAATATAGAGACAGAAATTCGATCAGTAGTTACCAGAGTCCAGTAGTTGCAGAGACTGACTGCAAAAGAGCAGAAAGAAATTTTGGGGGGGAGATGGAAATGTTTTGTATTTTGATTACAATGATGGTTACATGACTATCGATGTTTGTCAAAACTCACTGAACTGTATACTTAACAAGAGTGAATTTTATCATATGTAAATTATACCTCAATAAACTTGACTTTAAATACATACACACACACCTCGAGCACAGACATTGGTCGTTATAAGAACTTTCTCTTTCCCATCCCGAAACCTCTGAATGATGGAAGCTCGCTGATCCACAGTCAGCTCTCCGCTTAACAAAGACACTTGGTGGCCATCCTGTATCATCTTCACAGTCAACCACTTGGCATTTCGACGAGTCTACATAAAAAACAAAACCCAGTACAGCACCCCAAGTTAAAGCAGACTGGCCGTGTTTGCCATGCTCATGGATGTACACACAGCAGGGTGCCGGGAAGGGCTGCAGAGATTTGCTTCATCTCTCCCTTAATCTCAGAGGAACCTCAGAGAGGGGCACGGGACTCTCCCCTCCCCCTGCGCTTCTAAAGGTCACTTCCTCCCTGCCAGAACTTTAGCTTCCGAGCCATGAAACAGAGATAATAAAAATGTCCTACCTACCTCACAGGTGGTCTGAGGACACAATGAGATACTGTAATAACGGCAACGTCAGATACTCTAACAGTGCTGCACGTATGCCAGGCATCTTGCTAAAATCTTTACACACATTATGGTCACTTGCTTTCACAACAATTTGATGAAGGAGCAACCTAATTTCATTTTAAAAATTAAAAAAAGGCCCCAAATCTTACAAACATTAAGTAACTTGCCCAAGGTTATGTGGCTAGTCTGTGGCAGAGCCAAACTTTTCTTTAGTCTACAAATATGTTTCAGTGCTGTTCACAGGCCAGGTGGGTGCTATTCTAGTGCAAGGGATGTGAAAGGGATGGATATGATCCCACTGTCATGGAGCTTAGAGTATTCAAGGGGGAGTGAGAAACTAAAACCAATACAGGAACATGAAAAATGTCAGAGAGCAAAAAAATAGGTAACAGTGAGTAACTGAGTGGCTACTTTACTCATAGTAAGTCACGAATAGAAGAGAACATTCTTAACTCGATAAATGGTATCTACAAAAACCCTACAAATAACATCAACTTAAATGAGGAAGTGTCAGAAGCAGTCCCTCTCAAAATAAGGATGTCTTCTGTTTAACGTATTGCAGTCCTACCCTATTACTTAACTTTTCTAAGTTTCACCCATAAAATACAGATAATTTCTATTCAGAGTTGCTCTGAAGATTCAACTACATAATGTACAAAAAGTGCTGAATATGGTCCCCGGCTCTACTATTGTCCCCCCACCACCCCCTGCAGGGAAGTCTGGGCGTGACGAAGACAAATCTCAGCAGTTACCTGGCAGAAGATGATGGCCTGGCCAATGGTGATGCCGCCATAGATGTTGCACAGAGCTTGGTACTTGTCCTTCCTACTCTCGCACAGCACGTAATACTGCCGGATGTTGTTCAGGGTCAGCTCCTCCCTCCGTAACTTGATAACATTAGGGTCAGGAATGATTCGCTCTGCAAACTGCCACACAGAGTCCTCGAAGGTCGCTGAAAAGAGGAGCATCTGGCATTCGGAGGATAAAGCTCTGGAAGAGGGAAGGCAAGAAGGCCATCACCCAACTGCCATGCTGTCCCTCCTCTCCTTCCAGGCAGCTTCCAGCACTTCACACCCACCGCCATAAGCTCTCCGCACACCTGCTCCGGGGTCAGTGTGAGGTGCTGCCTGTAATGACCAGCTACATCTTCATGCAAAGAGCCACGTGTCCCGCCCCTCCCTGCCACCAAGAATTTGGAAAATTACGTAAACTGAATGTGGAGCTCCAGAGCCAAGTTTAGATACATATTCTGGAGGGTCTGAGGTTTTTCATGCCCATTTTCTCCTTGGGAGACATAGAAGCGTGGAGCCAAGAGTGTTAGTTAGATGCTCTTTATGGCAATCATCTCACACAGTGACACGGGATGCAGGACACAGAGGCTAGTCATTTGATGGCAGGTGATATATTTCTTGGGAGGGAAAAAACAAGAGCCACAACTAACTTTATTTGGAATGGGAAGAATATGGATACAAATAAAAGGGGAGCAAAGGGGAAAATGCTATTGCAGGTGAAATGTAAACTGAACCCATAATGAATACAGGGCTAATTCACCTGGAGTTCAAAAACAGGCAAAATGCATCTAAGGCGTTAGCAGTTAGGAGACAGGTGACGCCTGGGGAGGAGGGAGGGGCTGCTGGTAGGAAACGGCCGTAGAGACTTCGGAAGTGCTGGTATAGTTCTATTTCTCTACCAGGGCCATTGTCACATGAGCACAGCCTCCTTGTCATAATTCACTCAGTGGTACACTTATGATTTGTGTATTTCTCTGTCCATACTTTTTACATAAATAAAGAGGTTAATTTGTTTTTAACAAAATAGAGAGACCAGAGAGAAATCACCACTTTTGAGAAGAAGACAGAACACTTAGAAGAATAAGCTGTTAGTGCTAAAAGGGAGTGGGAGAGATCACATAGTCCAGTGATTCCCAAACACTGTTTAAGCCTGCGGCCTGGATCATCTGGGGAGCTTTTCAAAATAATAGTCTTTGATAGACCCTGGTTAATTATGGTAGACTGTCTACCTGTGTTACCTTCCCAGCTTCCCACATCCCACTTACATAAAGAGAGAAAAAGATCTGAATCCACAAAAACATGGACAATAGGAAAGGAGAAACTGGTGGAAGAGATATTTCAATGCATTTTTGGAAGAATGAAAAGTGTGATAAACGAGCAAGTGGAGGAAAATACAAGTGCTATACAGGGAAACACTGATGAAAGAGGTAGCTAAGTGGAAAAGACTGGTTCCCTCAGAGCACTGAGAGGTCTAGGACCTGCAAGCACCAGAGACCAGAGAAGTCGGTGAAAAGGACGGGTAATGGGGGCGGTATGCTAGAAGACATGAGAAGAATTCTGCATTAGCATGCCAGGGCCTCTTGGCCATGATATATCACAATCCTTCATCTGGAAAAAGATGGCACCAGGGCTAACATTGGGTTCAACAAAATATAACATGAATTTCATTTCTTTTCTTGTTTTTTTGTGAGGAAGATTAGCCCTGAGCTAACATCCATTGCCAATCCTCCTCTTCTTGCTGAGGAAGATTGGCCCTGGGCTAACATCGTGTTCATCTTCCTCCACTTTATATGTGGGATGCCTGCCACAGCACGGCTTGACAAGCGGTGTGTAGGTCCATGCCTGGGATCTGAACCTGCGAACCCCGGGCCACCGAAGTGCAGCACGTGAACTTAACCACTACACCACTGGGCTGGCCCCTGTTTCTTTTTTTTAATGTAGCTATTAGAAAATTTAAAAATTACACATGTGGCTTGCATTATATTTTGATTGGACAGTACTGTGATTTAATATTTTTTAAACAAAAGAAAGGAAAACCAGGGGCTGGTTCC